GTCTTGTCCTGGTCTTTGTATTTTTCCAGTATAAATGAGAATAAAAAATAGTGATCATAGTAATAGCTTTTAAAATACAATTTGTCATAGAATCCAATTAACTTGATCACTAATACATCACATTTATTTCCTCAGGTGTATTAGTCATAGAATCAACAAAAAGTATTTAACTATGATAGATTATGGTTTCTCCAAACTTTTAATTGTTATTTAAGTACTATATTTGTGGATAGTCCACTTGCTTGTTTTATCTTTAACCTGAAAAATATTTAAGCACACTGAAAACTGTCCCTGGAATACAATCTTTGCAGGTGAAAATGTCAGATACTGTCTCTATGTATAAGATCCACACACATTTTTTTCATGAATATAAACAATACTCACAGAGAAGGTATTAAACAGGTATTGAACACAGGACTGGGAACAACATGCTACATTAAATTTCACTCAAATGCAGACAGTCAAAATAGTCAAGTCTTTCAAACATCTTAAATATGTTGTTTTCTGATTACGGAGTACTATAAGTGTGTGTGTGTATATACACACACACGTTCCACATTCACATTTTGTTTTAAATCTAAAACACAACTCGGTTATAAAACGGTTAAGGTTTCATACTCTTATTCAACCAGATCATTTGTTACATTTTAATAAGGAGGACCACTACTAGTCACAGGGGTGGCCAAACTGCCACTCCTAGGCATTTAAAGAAAGGTATTTGATGTGACTGGTGCCTTTACTCTAGAGAGGCCTACAAAAACTGTGGCCCTCCAGGTGTTTTGAACTTTAGCTCCCAACATTCCCATTGATCAAGCTGGCTAGGGCTTCTGGGAGTTGGAGTCCCAAAAACCTGGAGAGTTACAGGTTGTGCAGGCCTGCTGTAGAGGAATACCCTGAACCCAAAAGGAACCAAGGATTCACCCATCTATACATTCAGTTAGTCCTTCAGTGTCTGTGGGTTTTTTAATGAATATGTTTTAATGGTTTTTAACTGTGAATTTTAAAATACTGTTAATATTTAATTCTATTTTAATGTTTGCATATTTGTATATTTTACATTGTATGCTAATGCTTCTATGTTAAGTTGCATTGAGTCTTCTTTGCGAGAGATAAAGGTGGGTATAAATAAATATAATAATAATAACAACCAATTTCAACATGCAGGCTGAATGTTATCATAGAATCATAGAATCAAAGAGTTGGAAGAGACCTCATAGGCCATCCAGTCCAACCCCCTGCCAAGAAGCAGGAATATTGCATTCAAATCACCCCTGACAGATGGCCATCCAGCCTCTGTTTAAAAACTTCCAAAGAAGGAGTCTCCACCACACTCCGGGGCAGAGAGTTCCACTGCTGAACGGCTCTCACAGTCAGGAAGTTCTTCCTCATGTTCAGATGGAATCTCCTCTCTTGTAGTTTGAAGCCATTGTTCCGCGTCCTAGTCTCCAAGGAAGCAGAAAACAGAGAGTTCCACTGCCGAATGGCTCTCACAGTCAGGAAGTTTTTTGGCTTTTTATTGCTCACGGATGGTACAAAGAGCAAACTGTCTGGTTGCAGTTATCCAAACCCAAATCAAAGGGTCACACAAGGTAGTTATCAAGATAGCAATGTGGTTTTTGAACTTCTTTTCCAAGAGACATGGTCTAACCAAAGCAGAATAGAGAGCCTGCATCAATAGGAGCATAGTGTCTAGATCTAGGGAAGTCATGCTACCCCTCTATTCTGCTTTGGTTAGACCACACCTGGAATATTGTGTCCAATTCTGGGCACCACAATTCAAGAGAGATATTGACAAGCTGGAATGTGTCCAGAGGAGGCGACTAAAATGATCAAGGGTCTGGAGAACAAGCCCTATGAGGAGCGGCTTAAGGAACTGGGCATGTTTAGCCTGAAGAAGAGAAGGTTGAGAGGAGATATGATAGCCATGTATAAATATGTGAGAGGAAGTCACAGGGAGGAGGGAGGCAAGCTTGTTTTCTGCTTCTCTGGAGACTAGGTCACGGAACAATGGCTTCAAACTACAAGAAGGAGATTCCATCTGAACATGAGGAAGAACTTCCTGACTGTGAGAGCCGTTCAGCAGTGCCCCGGAGTGTGATGGAGGCTCCTTCTTTGGAAGCTTTTAAACAGAGGCTGGATGGCCATCTGTCAGGGGTGATTTGAATGCAATATTCCTGCTTCTTGGCAGGGGGTTGGACTGGATGGCCCATGAGGTCTCTTCCAACTCTTTGATTCTATGATTCTATGACATGGCTTGACAAACTAACCTCGTTTTTGTATTTGGCTCATCCAGATATTTAGGACTAATTCAATTTGTGGGACTATTAGTTGAAATCTTTAAGCCCTTCCAGCTCCTGGTGTCTTAGATATTGGTCAAAACAACCAGCTGAGATCCAACTGTCCACCTGTCTTATTTTCCTTCTGGGGAGAATATACACTTAGTCTGCTGCAAAGCCAAATTTATAATAAAATCCCTCCACCTGAAAGATCTCTTTATCTCACAATATGGGGTCTTGTCATGGTGATGAACTTATCTAGATTCTCGTTTTACCAAATTTATTATTTAATCAAGTTTTATTGTGTTTTAATTTATTTTAGATAACTATTACAGGAGTTTTTGTCATAGTGATTAGTGTTCATTTGCCTGTGTATTTTCTACCTATCTACTTCAGATATTGTTCTGGGGTAATGGAATATGTAGATTAAACCATAGGTTAGGCACAAGGCTCAGGAAAAACACCCTAAATCAGTTAGTTATGTTTCTAGGGCATATTTTAGGATTGTTCTATAGTCCAGTTTTTTTTGTCGTGTCAGGAGAGACTTGAGAAACTGCAAGTTGCTTCTGGTGTGAGAGAGCTGGCCGTCTGCAAGGACGTTGCCCAGGGGACGCCTGGATGATTTGATGTTTTTATCATCCTTGTGGGAGGCTTCTCTCATGTCCCCGCATGAGGAGCTGGAGCTGATAGAGGGAGCTCATCCGCCTCTTCCCGGATTCGAACCTGCGACCTGTCAGTCTTCAGTCCTGCCGGCACAGGGTTTAACCCACTGCGCCACTTGTTAAAGCAGGGGTCCTCAAACTTTTTAAACAGAGGGCCAGGTCATAGTCCCCAAAATTGTTGGAGGGCCGGATTATAATTTGAAAAAAACATGAATGAATTCCTATGCACACTGCACATATCTTATTTGTAGTGCAAAAAACACTTAAAAACAATACACTAATTAAAATGAAGAACAATTCTAACAAATATAAACTTATTAGTATTTCAGTGGGATGTGTGGGCCTGCTTTTGACTGAAGAGATAGGATTGTTGTTCTTGTTGTGTGCTTTCAAGTCAATTCGGACTTAGGTTGACCCTGAGCGAGGGCCAGGTAAATGACTTTGGAGGGCCGCATCCGGCCCCCGGGCCTTAGTTTGAGGACCCCTGAGTTAAAGCCTGGCCACACATGATTCATGGGAAATACTCTTAAATATTCCCCATTGTAAGGAAAGATCAATAATGAAGACAGACCATCATTTTACAGTGATAACATCCTCATTGAACTTCAGGTTATGATGACCACCCCATGGGAGAATTTGTATGACTATGTATGACTATGTGTTAATTGTGTTATGTGTTAAATGTTTTGATACGGCCAATAGGCCAATCAATAAAACGTATCCCATGGGAGAATTTGGGAACCACTGCCTAACACTTACAGTTGGCCACCCCTGCTTTTACAAAAGCGTATTTGCTGAAAATGGTTCAATTTTGGCCACACTATTCCTAACATTAGCTGATTTCAAAACCATTTAAATACCTTCTCTACCAACATGACTGAAATAAAAAAGGACCATCACCGTGAGTGCAGTTAGGTTTTTTAAAAAAGTGTACTATAGTCAATGCCCCTGAAAACAGTTAAAATCTGTTTGAAAAATTAGGAGAAAAAAAAGCACAGAAGTTATGAATGCAGAAATGCTTGCAGTGAATTCCACATGCCTACAAGCACAAGATCAATTGGACAGGAGCAGTGCTAGAATAAAATCAAGCCACTATGATTTTTCTTTCAGTGATCGCTAAATCATCTGAAAGCTTCTTGGTTTGGCTGTTGTTGTCATACTTAACTTAAAAATGGGAATGATAAAAAAATGCAAAATGAAAAATGAAATTTAAAAAAAAAATCAACGCAAGTCAGAACAAAAAAAGGAATTAAAGAAAATTACTACAGACAGTTGATATCTTTTCTTATAAAACTCCTACCCAATAAATTTTGTTCCTTGAGGCCCAAGCTGCAGGATTCGGCTAACCATGCTCTCACCCTCATTTAGAGGGGGAGAATTGGTAGGAAGGTGCAGTTTACTGAATAACATCCATGCAGCAGGAAGAAAAACAAGAGGGGAAATTAGGAGCAAGCTGTCATTCCCAACAGGACTTTCTGCTAGGGACCAGGTAAGATCTTGATTTCTCATACCCTTGAAAGAAATATATATTTAGGTATCCCGTATCATAGTGGATTGTTTGCCCTAATGTTAGCCTTGAAAAAAAATCTGCTTGTTGGCATTTGTGTTAGTAGGTGGTTCATATGAATTGCTACAAAATGCACATTTAGTTGTCCATTCTTCTCTCGGTATAGACATGCATCTATTAAGGATGGAAGAGGAGTTTTCTACCAAACAAACATTGAAAATCAAAGGCATTCAGTCATCCGTGGGTGCGGCACATATGTTTGTTGTACTTCAAAAAGCAGCTATTGTTTACATCTATGTTTCTCCAATGTATTTCTACCAAAAGTGGTTGGAGAAGATTTTGGTTTATTGTTTTTCCTTCTCTAAAACATGAAGGACTTCTGTGGATAATCTCTTCCGCAGATCATGGATAAAATTATTTAGTAAGGCAAAAGAAGGCCTACCTCTTAATGTTCAAAATGATCCAACAGGAAGTACATGGATCCAAAGGGAAATTGGGGGGGGGGGGGGGAGAGAGAGACATGCAATATCACAGCAAATGATTCACACAACTCACCCTAAGAATTGTGCACCCGAAGGCCCCATTTCTACCAGCCTACTAGCTAGACCTTCCCCTTCGACCATTGGTGGAGGACTGGCTAGTTTATGCCTCTTTACCAAACGGCAGGTGATCCGGGTGGGCGCTGTACATTTTCTTGGTGGAATAATGATTCTCATGCCGTTGTGTCGGCTGCCCCTCATGGAACCCCCACGGGCATCAACCATAAAACTTACTAGAAAACTGTAGAGAGAAAAGGGAAGGAGAGACAAGAAGGAAATATCAAAAAAGCTGAATACACAAATATAAGAAGAAAATATCATAACCAAAAATATATATAGTATAAACACTTCCAAAAACATAGATTTGTGTGTGTGTGTGTGTCAGGAGAAATATGAGAAACTGCAAGTTGCTTCTGGTGTGAGAGAATTGGCCATCTGCAAGGATGTTACCCAAAAGTTTGATGTCCTTGTGGGAGGCTTCTCTCATGTCCCTGCATGCTGAAGCTGACAGAGGGAGATCAACCCACTCTCCTCAGATTTGAACCACTGACCTGTTCTGTTGGCACAAGGGTTTAACACATGGTGCCATAGACTAAATCAGTGGTTCTCAACCTGGGGTCCCCAGATGTTTTTGGCCTACAACTCCCAGAAACCTCAGCCAGTTTACCAGCTGTTAGGATTTCTGGGAGCTGAAGGCTAAAAACATCTGGGGGACCCCAGGTTGGGAACCACTGGACTAAATGAAATAATTGCAATAAAACAATTAAAAAGAAAGCTTACTCGACAAAAACAATAACAACACCAATAGCTCACTTCTCTACATAACTACTCAAATACCAATCCCATTAAGCCTATGACCCATTCAATATCCACTTACCTTGGAGCAAACCCAATGAAACCAATGAGGTTTACCTCATAGGATTATGCTCTCAACCACATAATACCCACCTTCCCAACAAAGGGTATAAATGTCATTCTTATTAAGATTTCTAGGCACAATCATCTACACAAAGTTTGTGTGCTAGTAAATATTAGTAAAAATGACCATGTTGAATACATCAAAATTGCCACAGTTAATATGTGTATGTGTCAAAGACAATGAAACTTCTAATGTATCACTCATGCATTAAATCAAAAACATTGCAGTGCTAAATTAATCCGTAGCATCGCGTATTTTGAAGTGCAACGCTGACACGCAAAACAGAAATGTTCATAATGTTGAGTGTAATTTAGAATTTTATTCCACAAAAACATACAATTATTTTAGGTACTGTTCATGTCTTTCAAGAATAGCATAAAACATATTGCCAAAATGGTTTTAGTAGTAGAAGCTAAACTCTCTTTTTTAAATGCTATGATACAGGGTGTGGAAAAGTTACTTTTTGGATTACAGCTCCGGGGACGTACTTGCTGGCTTCAGAATTTAACAAACTATGCCCCTCAAAAATAACATTTCCAAACTTTGATAACATGTTATGGATCACCCTTGAAAGTCACCAATAATTTCTAAATGGGAAGATCAATAATGAAAGACAGGCCTTCTCTTTTCTAGTCCACAGCTGAAGACAGAAGATACCTGTTGAGCAGAAGATACCTGCTCAACAACTGCAGAAGAAGAGAAGGCTGAGGGGAGATATGCTCACCGGAGCAGCGTACAGAGAGCACACCACCCCCCTGTTGCGTCAGCTCCACTGGCTGCCGATCCAATTCCGAGCACAATTCAAAGTGCTGGTTTTGACCTACAAAACCCTATACGGTTCCGGCCCAGTGTATTTGTCCGAACGGATCTCCCTCTACGTCCCATCTCGAAGTTTAAGATCTTCTGGGGAGGCCCTGCTCTCGACCCCGCCACTGTCACAAGTGAGGCTGGCGGGGACGAGGAGCAGGGCCTTCTCAGTGGTGGCCCCTCACCTGTGGAACTCACTCCCCGGGGAGATCAGATCGACGACTTCCCTTCTAGCGTTTAGGAAAAAACTAAAGACCTGGATGTGGGACCAAGCTTTTGGCCATGCTGACAACTAACTAAAGGACCTGTCGATAGACAAGGACAATGGAATGGAATGGATATATGGACTCTGATATATGGACTCTGACATTAGATAGTTTTTATGATTTTATTAGGTATTGATGTTTTATTTTAATTGTTGAATTGTTATATTTTGTATTGTTTGTTGTGTGTTTTGGGCATCTAATTGTGCCTTTCCTGTAAGCCGCCCTGAGTCCCCCCCGGGGTGAGAAGGGCGGGGTATAAGTAGATGAAATAAATAAATAAATAAATACATGTATAGATATGTGAGATGAAGCCACAGGGAGGAGGGAGCAAGCTTGTTTTCTGCTTCCCTGGAGACTAGGACGCGGAACAATGGCTTCAAACTACAAGAGAGGAGATTCCATCTGAACATGAGGAGAACTTCCTGACTGTGAGAGCCGTTCAGCAGTGGAACTCTCTGCCCCAGTGTGGTGGAGGCTCCTTCTTTGGAAGCTTTTAAACAGAGGCTGGATGGCTATCTGTCAGGGGTGCTTTGAATGCAATATTCCTGCTTCTCGGCAGGGGGTTGGACTGGATGGCCCATGGGGTCTCTTCCAACTCTTTGATTCTATGATTCTATGCAGTTGTACAGTGCTGTTCAATTTGGGTATAAATGGAATGTTATATGTGTCTGTTAAATACTCAGTATTTGCTCCTATAAACTAAAACTCTCATTTGTTACATGATCCATCCTGACAGAACCACCACTGCTTCTGAGATATACAGAGAAAGCAATACTGCTGATATAAGGCAGTGGCAAGAAGTCCACTATCTGCAAAAGTGTATGGTTCTTTGATGCAGGAAGAATAGTGTTGGGTAGAGATCAAATTGAGAAAAAGGTTAATGGAAGTCAGGTATGCCTCCTAAATGCTCAGGGAAATCTGACCTCCTTTTGACTATATATGTTTTTTCATTTTTGACACCTATTCACATTCACTAACCAACTCATTAGGGAGCGAAAGAACACCCTTGAGAGAAGAGAGGAGATTCCATCTGAACATGAGGAAGAACTTCCTGACTGTGAGAGCCGTAACTCTCTGCCCCGGAGTGTGGTGGAAGCTCCTTCTTTGGAAGCTTTTAAACAGAGGCTGGATGGCCATCTGTCAGGGGTGATTTGAATGCAATATTCCTGCTACTTGGCAGGGGGTTGGACCGGATGGCCCATGAGGTCTCTTCCAACTCTGATTTTATGAAACAATGTCCCATGAAGACCATTACATAATGCAAGGCCACGTCTCGTAGTTGTCCATAGGACTTCCTCATGGCAGCACAGGGAAATGGAGGGAAGTGTGTTTTCAGGAGTAGGGTGCTACCTGACTCCCAATGATAGAAAAAAGATAGAAGCAAGGAAAGAAGAACAAAGAACGTGTGATGGCAACTGACTGTTGCCATTACAGATAATGGAAAGGCATGAGACGTCAATGGTAGGGAACAAAAGAAGGTGGTTCACTTTTCTCTGCCTCCCACCCCATTATAGTTCTTAATCTGCTCTCAGCCACTTTGATTTGTGACCTCATCAGATAGAGACTTTTTTGGCTACATATACTGGCTCAGCAATAGTTTAACCATGGAACGCACCGGCTCCCATCCCACAATGTAATACTACTTCTGGCAGAGCTCTCTGGCTAGAATATAGCAGAACCACGGGAGGATCCTCATGTTGGCAACAATGGGGAGAAGCTGGGCAATTATTGTAATATGCTGTTGGCCTTGGCCTCATGTAAGCCGCCCCGAGTCCCCATTGGGGAGATGGTGGTGGGGTATTAAATCAAGATTATTATTATTATTATTATTATTATTATTATTATTATTATTATTATTCCCCCTGTGGGATTGCATTACTGGTGAGTCAGGAAATGTGGGGCATGGGGAATGGGTTTGGATTCACCATGATCCATGGTGGTTCCTGCGGCTTGCATGATAAGGTCGTAAATGAAAGTCAATAAATGAATTCTGTAAACCAACATTAGTTTTGGTCACACATTGGAAATGTATATTTTTGGGACGCTTGTTCTCAAAAGTCCCCAGCCACCAAGACCAAGCTCTAGTTTTAGGCAAGAAAACTCTCATCTTCTTTCATTATTGGTATGACCTATCAGCAGCACACATTATTGTCTGTCTCATTCTGCATAGATACAAGACTCCTTGAAGTGATTGGCTTGACCTTGAAGGAGCTGGGGGTGGTGACGGCCGACAGGGAGCTCTGGCGTGGGCTGGTCCATGAGGTCACAAAGAATCGGAAGCGATTGAACGAATAAACAAAACAAGACTCCTTATCTCTATAATGCTAGAAGAAGAGTACAGATCCCATGCACCAGCAAGGCAAGTAGGTTTTCATGGAGGGACTCTTGAAAATCCCTTCTGCTTTTCTTCACGTTTACACCAGCAATTGTATATATACTTTGTTCCATGCAAACAGCTTGCCACAGGTAACAATACCTCCCTTATTCTACCTTAACCTTGCTCATAAAAAAGCAACTGAACATATTCCATCTAGAATAAAAGGATATTGCTTTGGTCTGTCCCAGTAGTTAATTTGAATTATATTTCTAATTTTTAGTGCTGAAAAAAACACAGTTTTTAAAATCTTTATAAGGATGTTTTCAGGAGTGGTACTTAAATTGGTGGCTACATTTCTAAAGTTTCAATTTTTGTATTAAAAGGGCAATTTTCCAAGATTTTGTTAATCTATTTTATCTTTAAAAAATCCAGGACAGGGTACAAAAAAGGAGCAAAGCTAACATGGATGAGATCATTTGAAGTAGGGGAAAGGTTTACTAACAGAAAAATAGTCAACATGCATTCTCATGTTTTCTGTCTTATTCCCCCCCCCCCTGCTTTTTCCTATGGAAAATAATAATGTATACATTTTAGTCATACTCCAATCATTTAATGGATAAATCTGTATTTAGAGTAGAGATTTAATATAATTTTAAGATCATTTGTTTGCATTTCTCGTGTCATGATCTCCACAATTTTTATGTTAAAGCAAAGCCTGTCCTCCCTGCTTCTGACACTGGTCTACTCAATCCTCACTTTTATAAGGGGAACCTGGGGATCACAACCAGACACAGTGAAGACATCTGCCCTTGCGCTATGTTACTATGCTCCTGAGTATGCATGCCCAGTGTGGAACACATCTCACCACGCTAAAACAGTAGATGCGGCTCTTAATGAGACATGCCGCATCATCACGGGGTGTCTGCGAAATTACACTGTTCAGCCGGTATTGCACCACCTGACATCCGCCGGGAAGCAGCAACCAATAGTGAAAGGACCAAGGCAGTGACATCTCCAGCTCATCCCTTGTTTGGGCATCATCCAGCACGGCAACTCCTTAAATCAAGAAATAGTTTTCTAAGATCTACAGAGACGCTCGCTGGAACATCTCAGTAAGCAAGAGTCCAAAAGTGGCAGGCTCAAACCCAGAACCTAAATCAATGGCTGATACCAAATGAGAGACTCCCCCTGGGCACACAGAAGACTGGGCGACTTGGAAGGCGCTGTACAGACTGCGCTCTGGCACCACGAGATGCAGAGCCAACCTTAAGAAATGGGGCCACAAAGTGGAATCCACGACATGCGAGTGTGGAGAAGAGCAAACCACAGACCACCTGCTACAATGCAACCTGAGCCCTGCCACATGCACAATGGAGGAACTCCTTGCAGCAACACCAGAGGAACTCCAAGTGGCCAGATACTGGTCAAAGGACATTTAATAGAATACCAAGTCTGCATACTTTGTGTTTTGTCTGCTTGTTTGTTTGTTTGTTTTAATGCAATGCAACTGTTTGGTCTGCCCCTGACACGCTAAATAAATAAATAAATAAAGGGAACAATTCAATAGTAATATATCCCTACCAGCAAGTTCTCCAAAGTAAATCTCTACTCTAAATACAGATTTATCCATTAAATGATGGGAGTGTGACTAAAATGTATACATTTAGCCAGTGACTTTCTTTTATTCTATGACTCTCATAAAGTACAGTGCATAAATAACACAAGAGCTTAAAATACTTTACATGAACTTTTTGGGTTTTCAGGAGTAAGCTGGTTACAAGCTCACGGCCCAACTTTGTGCTGATTTTACACTCTTTCTGATCTGTGAATCATGTAACATATTAGTGGCAAATTCATCTGTAGTTAGAAAGAATACAATTCTCCAATAACTAGGCAAAAATAAAAGGGTCCTTGGATAAATTTTGACATCTCTTTTACAAACTAACATACAAAACATTACTGTTATATATTACCGTTCATATGTTTTTAAACATATCATGCACACCGTATGAATACAATTAGTTGTCAATGGTTATCTAAATTATTGTCAGGCTAATGATGTGGGGTATAGGACAACTTCTAAAACACAATGCTAAACACTAAAAATGTGGAATGTCTACAATACAGGCTGGAACAGACTGGGGATAAATTGAATGCACGAAACACATCTAGACACATTCAGCTGTAGGAGTGATCAACATAAATAAAAACAATAATGGGGAGTCACAGACAGTATCATCACCTTGAATCATATTGGGGGAGTGGAGAGGAATAGCTGCAAAATAATTTAGAAAAGCAAATTGGAAAAAAATTAATGTGAGACAATTAGAAGCAAGCAACAGAAAATGTCAATCATAAGCAAAAGCAAAATAATAATAAAAGCAAAGCATTTCAGTTTGATCTTGGAAGGTGGGAGATATTGTCCTATATGTTTAAAATGTTTTTTTTTTTTAAAAAAAATGCAAGTCCTGTAATACAAAATATGGGGTTTCCTGTATTCAAAAACTTCACCAAGTTCATGTAAAGTTTGACATGCCTTTATTTTGAAAAGACCCCAGTGATGGAATAGTTATTTTTAGCATTTTGTCTGGTTGCAGTAATACATCACACTCTGAATCTCAATTGTATTCACATGCATGTAGAAGAAACCATTATCATTTATATGGAAACACTTCATTTCATTTTAAAAAACCGGGATTGTGGCACAGCTGGCTGAGTGTCAGCTGCATTAACATCACTCTGACCAAAAGGTCATGTGTTCGAAGCCAGCTCGGGTTGGAGTGGGTTTCCAACCAATTCTATGTAGCCTGTTGTCGACCTTTGCAACCGGAAAGACAGTTGCATCTGTCAAGTAAGAAAATTAGGTACCACCTTAAAGTGTGGGGAGGCTAAATTAACTGATTTATGAGGCCAAAAAGAAGACTCCAGCAAAGCATTCCAGTGGGGAAGCATGCGGGGAATGCGGAAGTGCTTCATCAGCGTCGCAGATGGACGATGAAAGCGACAGCTCCCCTGGTGGCCAGAAAAAGTTAAATAGCCTCTCTGTATGTCTGTATATGTTTGTATGTCAAAAATTGGCATTGAATGTTTGCGATATATGTGTACACTGTAATTTGTGTTGTGGGGGGAGGGAGGTTTTGGAATGGCAGTGTTTGGTAAGTTCCAAGTGAGTGATTGAGCTAAAGTCGCAATCCTCTTCAATTTATACCTGTTGCAACGTAAATCCCAGATTCTCAGCATACATATGAGTTAGGTTCACACATGTGGCTGTGCCAGTATATTTCCCCCCCCCCCCCTAAGGGTAATCAGCCATAGGCCAGCAAATGTTTGCAACTGTCTCAGGAACGAAAACTGGAAATATATGCAGATAAAGTTCAGCAGCTGTTTTAGGAGTTTGCATTCAAATGGAGGAAATTGAATCCAACCAGTATAACCTATGCAAAGCAGGCTTTTCTCTATCTTGGGAAATATATAATTCTTTTTTTAAAAAAAAAATATGGAATGACTTCCATGAGTAGGCATGTAACTTTTTCAGGGGAAGTAGCTTACGTCATTGTTTCTAGTTGCAGCTGTAGTGGATGTGAAACGTATGTTCATGACATTTATTTATTTCATGACTGACTTTTGGGGATAGAAGAACGGCCACTATAAGGCTTAACAGATCAGTCCCGCACCCTCCCCTGCCACTGCATGGTCTCATACAGAATGACAACAGGAAATGTTTCAAATCACTTACCCGGAATGTATGGGGCTGGAGACGAGGTTGACGTTGTCCATTGTATCCGCAGCCCAACTATAGTGCCTCAGAGAGTCGGAATCAAACTCTCTAGGAATCAAACTCTGCTGCTTCAAAGAAATAAACAAGCAGAAGTGTTAGCAGGAAAACCAAGTCAGAACTTTGTTTTATTACAATCAAGTCATCAAATGATCCTGTCCTATAAATTGTGTTGATTACAATTATTATAAATTAGTTATATATTCAAGTAGTGTCATGCTTGAATATAGATATCAACCAGCTTTTTGTCAATCCAAATCTGCTAGGAATATAGTCAGACAGTAGCCTTTATTACAGTCAACAAACCATCGGCTAAGTCAAGTGAAAGTAGAATGATGAAATACAACATTTAAGTAATTAATAACATCACGTTTGGCTTATGATTAATGAAAACAAGTATAACCACTTGCTATCGGTTGAATGACTGTCTTTATAATCTAAAACAGGAACTGATTACCAATTAATAATAAGTCTCCTGAGTACTCTTTGTTACACTCTTAGCGTTTACACGTTATTCATGAAGCACTTGCGGCTTTTTGCCGCTGCAAAGAGAAATTTGCACCGGGATTGTGGCGCAGCTAGCTGAGTGTCAGCTGCATTAAGATCATTCTGACCAAAAGGTCATGAGTTCGAAGCCAGCCCGGGTTGGAGTGGGTTTCCAACCAATTGTGTAGCCTGTTGTCGACCTTTGCAACCCGAAAGACAGTTGCATTTGTCAAGTAGGAAAATTAGGTACCACCTTAAAGTGTGGGGAGGCTAAATTAACTAATTTATGAGGCCATAAAGAATACTCCAGCAAAGCACTCCAGCGGGGAAGCATGCGGGGAAAGCGGAAGTGCTTCATCAGCATCGCAGATGGACGATGAAAGCGACAGCTGCCCTGGCGGCCAAAAAAAGTTAAATAGCCTCTCTGTATGTCTGTATATGTTTGTATGTCAAAAATTGGCATTGAATGTTTGCCATATATGTGTACACTGTAATCTGCCCTGACTCCCCTGCGGGGTGAGAAGGGCGGAATATAAAAGCTGTAAATAAATAACTAAATAAATAAATAATTTGGCCACCTGTTCTGTTACCCTTTTGTGAAGATCAGACAGTAAATAAGTGCAGTACCAACTTAGGGTTCTTCCTGGCCACTTGGTGAATAGAGGGGATATTAACCTTAGTCTATCATCCTTATAAATTGTGCAAATAAAAAGTACATAAAAATAAAAAGTTTCGATTTTTCCCTCCCCACAAGGGCAAATTCTGTGTTCGTAATTAGTCCCTCTGTATCTACCTCTAGTGCTAGGGATATAAAGATTTGCTTTTTTCCATTCTGCATAGAATAATAAAGAAACTCAGAACATTTTGCCCCACTAAACAAGATTGTGAGAAATTGCATTTAGGCATATTTTTGTTCGCAAAACAGTCGTTGCAATGTGTTGCAAATTTTGGTAAAAAAAATAATGCCTGTGTGAAAAGAGATTGCTTTTTGCACAGATCCCATGCCCACATTTTTCCCAAAACTCCCAAAATATTATTGCTTTTTTGCAAGATTTACTTATGATGAAAACAAATGGGAATATATTTAGCATTCCTAATAAGCACTACATCACACTGTCTCTATTTTGGCCAATAAGAAAATGAGGTAAGGGGGTGGGGAGATTGTGAGCTATGCCACAACTCCCACACCCAAACTCAATAAACTATTCCTGGCACCAACAATCCAAGTCCATTAGTAATCTCCTCACTAAACAGAGACCTACCCTGAAATGAAATTGTGCCAGATGAAAACATGTTCCCGTCTTATAAATACACACTGGCAATTCTGACCAAGCTTGGCCTATTCAGCACTTATTGGAGCTGCAAAATGAACTGATTGCTATGTCCGTTTCTTACACAGGATGTCTAAAAGGTGGGCACTTTCATCTTTGTCCGTCAAAATGGGGAGGATAAGAAAATGGTGTGCCTGACACCAGGGATCTATTTTACTACAGACTAGATGTCCCCTGCCACATTTTGCTGTGGCCCAGTCTGTATATATGTGTTTTGTATGTGTATATATTTGTGTATATGTGTGTGTATATTATATATATTATATATGTATGCATTGTCATTTATTTTTTGTTTTTTGGCTTTTTAAGTCTCTTCTGCTGTGTTTTTCAGTCTTTTTATGAATGACTAGCTGTACCCTCCACGCGTTGCTGTGGCCAATCTTCCCTCCCTCCTTCTCTCCTTCCTTCCATCTTTCCTTCCTTTCCTCTTTTTCCTTCCCTATCTCTCTTCTTTCTTCCATCTCTACCTGTTTCTTTCCTCCCTTCCTTTGCTCTTTGGTTCCATACTTCCTTCCTTCCCTATCTTTTGTTCCTTCTCTCCTTCCTTCCCTCTCTTTTTCCTTTCACTTTTTTATTTCCTTCTCTCCTTCCTTGCTTCTCTATCTTTCTTTCTTTCCCTCCCTCCCCGCTTCTCTCCTTCCTTCCTTCCTTCCTTCCTTCCTTCCTTCCTTCCTTCCTTCCTTCCTTCCTTTCCTTCCTTCCTTCCTTCCTTCCTTCCTTCCTTCCTTCCTTCCTTCCTTCCTTCCTTCCTTCCTTCCCTCTTTCCCTCCTTCTCTCATTACTTCTTGACTGTCCCTTCCATTTAATATTGTATTTATATCTTACATAGAAAGAAGGAAAGGAAGAAGGAAGGAGAGACATGAATGAAGGAAAAAGGAAGGGAGGGAGGGAAAGAAGGGAAGGAAGGAAAAGAAAGAAGGAGGGACAGGGAGGGAGGGAGGAGTAGGAAGGAAGGAGGAAGGAAGGAGGGAAAGAAAGGAGGGGGATGAAGAAAGGAGGGAGGGAAGGAAATGAAGGGGAAGGAAATGAAGAAAGGGAAAGAAGAAGGAAAGGGAGGGAGGGAGGAAGGAAAAGAAGGAAAGGAAGAAGGAAGGAGGGACAGGAAGGAAGGGAAGGAGGGAAAGAAGGAAAGGAAGGAGAAGGAAGAAAAAAAGAAAAAAAGGAAGGAAGGAAAGGGAGGAAAGAAGGGAAGGGAGGGAGAGAAGGAAGGTCCTTCATTCAAGCACCGTGGACCTTCCTCACCTCCTCCTCCTCCTCCTCCTCCTCCTCCTCCTCCCCTTCTTCCTTGCTCCATTGCTGCTGCTGGCACTCATCCGCCCTTTCCTCTTCCAACAGGGAAAGGAGGAGACTGCCTCCAGCTCCTCCACTCCACTTGCTTGTGTGTGTGTGTGGCCATGCATGTTCACCTGGCTTTAATGGCCAGCTGTTTCCCCGCGAGGAGGAGGAGGGGGCGTGGTCATGGGTCTCTGTAGACATGCAGTTTCTCCTTTGTGGACATGCAGTTTAGAAGTCCTTTCTGCTTTTGGTTTTCGTTGGGTTTTTTTGGAGTGGAGAACATACACTGGGATGTTAGGGACATCATGTCCAAATTTGGTGTCAATTGCCCCAGTGGTTTCCGAGTTCTGTGAATAGCACAAATTAACATTACATTTTTATTTATATAGATGGTCACTTGTTGGCCTGATAAGTGTCCGAATTCGGTTTTAGTTTGTCCAGTGGTTTTTGAGTTATGTTAATCCCACAAACAAACATTACATTTTTATTTATATAGATTCTTCTGTTCCTTCAGGTGGCTTATTTTTTGACCTTTTAAGCAGTCTATCTTCATATGAATTTATACACAGTCATTCCTCCAGTTGTACTGTGGTTATAATGGAGGATTCCTGTGAAAGTGGGAAAAACATGAATAAAATCCCACTACTTCTTACCGAAAAAGATATCTCTCTAGAAATCTCTAGATCTCCCAGTGTGACTCCATGGTCAAGTTCTGAATAAATCATTCTGGACGATCTATAAATGACTACAGAAGTGTTCTCTCTAGATAGCGCTAGTTCATCCAGCATGGCTAGCATCATCTCCCCCTATGAACCATCACGGAGATTAAGATCCTCCGGGGAAGCCTTGCTTTCCATCCCACCATTGTCACAGGCATGATTGGTGGGGATGAGAGAGAGGGCCTTCTCGGTGATTGCTCCCCGGCTATGGAACTCCCTTCCTGGTGAGATCAGATTGGCCCCCTCCCTCCTGTCCTTTAGAAGGATGGTAAAAACTTGGCTGCGGGACCAAGCTTTTGGGACAGGGCAATAAAGCGGCAATAGGAAAGATGACCAGTCCAATTAGATTTGACGCGGATGGCTAGGATGGTTTTAAATGGTGTATTTTAATATTTTGATAAATGTTTTTTAATAGGTTCTTGTGGGTTTTTTCGGGCTATAGAGCATCCTCAGAGGTAGTGAGGTTTGTCCTAATTCCAACAGACCTCACACCTCTGAGGATGCTTGCCATAGATGCAGGCGAAACGTCAGGAGAAATGCCTCTAGAACATGGCTCTATAGCCCGAAAAAACCCACAAGAACCTAGTGATTCCAGCCATGAAAGCCTTCGACAATACAATGTTTTTTAATGTTTTAATGTTTATGTACGTGTATGTGAATTTGTGTCCCAGCATTGAATGTTTGCCGTGTATATGCTGTGCTCTGCCCTGAGTCCCCTTCGGGGTGAGAAGGGAGGAATATAAATGTTTTAAATAAAATAAATAAATAAATAAATACAGTTAACGTCCACTGGAAGATAACAATAGAGGTGAGATATGCCCTTGTCTGATGCTGTAAATTTTGGATGCAATGTTGGTTCCTCTCTAGTTTTGTGATTGAGCCCATTACTTCACATGACATACAGCTACTTCTGGCAAGACTCCTTTTATAGAATCATAGAATCATAGAGTTGGAAGAGACCTCGTGGGCCATCTAGTCCAACCCCCTGCCAAGAAGCAGGAATATTGCTTTCAAATCACCCCTGACAGATGGCCATCCAACCTCTGTTTAAAAGCTTCCGAAGAAGGAGCCTCCACCACACTCCAGGGCAGAGAGTTCCACTGCTGAACGGCTCTCAGTCAGGAATTTCTTCCTCATGTTCAGATGTAATCTCCTTTCTTGTAGTTTGAAGCCATTGTTTCGCGTCCTAGTCTCCAGGGAAGCAGAAAACAAGCTTGCTCCCTCCTCCCTGTGGCTTCCTTTCACATATTTATACATGGC